TATGAGGTGGCAAACATCATGTGCAAAATGGTTGTCCGACGTTGATGTTGCCAGATCTCGGTCCTGAATTCAATAATAAGGTAATGACTGATTTTTTCAGGTTATTTTTACTATTTCTTCAACCTCACTATCAGGTCACAGATAGTTGACGGTGAACATGGGTTTCGTTGCCTTTGTGATTATTTTTTAAAGGCACATTGTTGCTGACAACTGTTTGTGAACACTCACCTTATATTTTGGAAACACTGCTGTTGGTCACCCCAGCAGGGTTGCTATAAGATTTTTTTTTTTTTGGTGTCTTCATACCCACCAGAAAACCTCACAACAATTGATTCAGATAGTAATACTAAAAGATGGGATATTACTGTTGCTAATTACACATAAAATGGCAAATAGGCGAAGGAACACGCCTTTGGACAAGTCTGTATGTAAGTTTATGGTGTAACTTTTTCTTTTCTTTCCAGTTTAACCTGTATGTTTGCAAAACCTGGGGATCAGCACATACTTGTGCTGCCTATGCTTACACCGCGTGAGCCTGTGCGATTTGCGCAGGGTTACCCTGGACCGGAAGATGTGACAGGCGCAGGCACTGCAGACTTGCCTACAAAATGAGAGACGCTTTTCTCGTTCGGACCATGTAATAAATCAATTGAAATATTCATGTTGTGCTGCTCACACGTCAGTGCCACTGGTAGCGAATTCTGCCGGGCAGGCAAAGGCGGCCATACTTCATGGCGGTAACCGCGGCTGGGGCGGGCGGGATGCTTTTGTCGTTACACCGGCGCACGTGGGGCTCGCTCGGAGCAGGCCGGCGGGAGCGGGGTCTGGCGGGGCCGGGTTCCGGCGCACACGGCGCTGCCGTTCTTGCAGCGCCCCCTGGCGGCATGTTGCGGGCGCATCGCGGCCTGCGAGCCTCAGCGCCAGCGGCGGGAGGAGGCGAGTCTCGGGCCGCGCCTGCCGGCGGCGGGGCGCGGGCTCAGCGAGAGGCCGTAGGAGGCTGCATCAGGCAGCGGATGAGGCGCGCGCGACTGGGGCCGGCGGCTCGGTCCGAGGGAGAGGAGAGGGGCGGGGGCCCGGTGCGAGGGGGATGGTGGAGGAGGGGTTGGGGTTTAGTTCTGGCTCATGACGAAGAGAGGATGGGGGTTCCCGCTCCCCTGGGGCTTGGGAGGTTCTGGCTCAGGTGGGGGAGGGGGGCCGGCGGGTTGCGGCCCGGGTGGGGATTGGGGGGAGGGGCCAAGGCGTTCCGGCTCAGGTGGGGGGAAGGGCGTTCCGGCTCAGGTGGGGATAAGATGAGTTGGGGTTGGGCACCTACTGCATGGTTCCAAGTCTGTCACTAGAATTGGGATTTGGATGTTGTTGTTAGTTTCTGAATAGAGAAGTGGCAGGTTTTAAACATTAGTTCAATGAGGAGCAGATAAGCAAGGCTAAATGTTGACATTTTGCTCATAATCACAGTTTACCATTATTTCGTAGGTTTGGTGTTCTGAGGTATCTACAGGGCTTCAGATATTTAACAGAACATCTACTGTTTGGAGAACTAAATCTACTAGTCAGAGGTAAATATAAAAGCTATACGTGATATGTGAGTGTGTCCACCAGATTAGTCCAGGGATGTAACCCGTGTCTGTTACCCCTGGTGATCAGAACTATATATATTCCTCCTTTAGCTATGGCAGGAGGATACTCAATCAGTCATCCAACCTTCATTTTTTTTGATTACCTTATCCAGTGAATAATTTCAGTGCCTGCCTCTTCTGCTCAGATCTTTCCATGGCAGCAAACGTGAAAATGCATTATTACTGACAGCTTCACTGTTGTCAACATGTTTCTCAGAAAGATCCTGCAAAACTAACTAGATACTTGCTAATTTCACTCTACCGCTGTTGCTTATAGCTTTACCTAACAGCAGAAGTGTTAAAGGTGTCTTTCAGCATGTTATATGTAGTTCATGTTTGTGATGTTTCCAGCCCTTATGCTTGCAAAGGGCTGGAATTATTATCTTATTATCTTAAACAATTCTACAGAAATTGAAGACGTAGCCGTAACCCGCACACTCCCCAGGAAAGGCTTCCTGCTCACAAGTGTATTTTTAAGCCCCATTTATGTACATACTTTTAAAATACTCATCTTTATAACATCTAGGATGATCTTAGGACCATGGACCCAATATTAAATGATACCTGAACAAAAACAATGCACCTATATTACATAAAATTGTGGTACAAAGTACACATACTGTAGAGAACCCATAGGACATTTATTTTTACTATCACTCTCCCTTAATCTGATTATTTGGGAAGGGGAGAGAAATCAAATCTCATGGAGCAAAACCCCTTCCACACAATGAGATTTGAGCCTGGCTAATCTCTCTTATCTGACCTACTACTTTTTGTATACTACTCTACTGCTGTCTTCTTTCTTGGTCTCTGTCCAGTATGAAGGCTACGCATATGGCATAGGGTTCCTCCTTAAAAGTCTTCAGATGAAGAAAATCCAAAAGGTACATTCTCATTTTGCCCCACTCCATCATAGGCTGTCACTTCTCCTCTTAGGCTGTGCCCATGGTACACACATTCAGCCTCTCCAGCAGTAGCATATACTTACCTTTCTGTCTTGTTCCTTCGGCCTTTAGGTTGCTCCTTTTATGAGACATCTTACAATTTAAGCTTATGCTACTAACAAAAACCCTCTGGATTAGCTATAAAATTAAAAGATATCAAATAGCCTCTAAAAGGAAAAACTCCCATCCCATAGTCAGCATAAACTTCTTTATTTTTATTTTCCTTCTTCTGTTTTATAGTGAACATATGGTGGTAGTTGATTGCCTGGAGAACAGTGTTATTGCGCCTGTCTACATGAGCAGAAGAGGTATTTTTTCCATCAAGTAGTTAACTGTACTCAATGAAGACAACCCTACCCTCCCAAATGTCTGTGTAGACACAGCTTGATTGTAAGATCATTTGAGCTGGTTGTGTTGTGGTCTAGGTGAGAGCGTAGGCACATGAGCAGCCCAAATGATCGTAATGGTGTTAAATTGTGTCTTCAAGGTGCTAGAGTGATTTCAATCAAGTTGAGCTAACTTGATTAAAAACACACCTTTTTGCCTATGTAGGCAGGACTAGGGTGACTTATGAAATGGTTATTTGGGAAATATCTATATAAACTAGATACTTATTGTCCTTTAAATGTGAGTAATATTGTGCTTGGTCTGTTCTCTAGAGCAGGCCCGCACAACTCGTAAAGCAGCGGGGGGCCATATTACTCCAAAGAAAACAGCTGAGGGCCGAAACCCCCTGGCCCCGCTGAACCCCCCCCAGCGCCGCCGAAACACAACACCCCCCCCCCAGCACCGCCCGTCCCACAGAAACAACCCCCCCAGCGCTGCCGAAACACCCCCCAGTCTCCCCCCGGGAACCCTCCCCCAGCGCTGTCCGCCCCGTGGAAAAAAACCCTCCTTCCCCAGCGCTGCCCTGCTGAAATAGCAGTATTGAACCTTGGTAATATGTTATAGCTGGCCCTAAGGTAGTATACTAAGGTAGTATAATTAAGGTAAAAGAAAAATGTCTTTTTGCTAGAAGTAGAATAAGATCTTCCCCCCACTTTGTAATCAATTGCCCTGTTGAATGAATGAGGTGTGAATGAGGAAGGCGTAGAAGGCAGCACCTCCAGACAGCTGCAACCCTTGGAGAGGGGATGGGAGCCAGACCAGATCAGTAGAACAGGTCAGCTACCGACTCGCTGCTGGCCTCCTCAGCCCCCCCCCCCAGCTCGCCTACTCACCCCCGCCACTGCCCGCCCGCTCACCTCCTCAGCCCCCCACCACCCCGGCTTACCTACTCAGCCCCCCTCCCCTGCCGCCGGCTCACCTGCCCCCCCGCCATTGCCCGCCCGCTTGCCTCCTCAGCCCCCCACCCCTCCAGCTCGCCCGCTTGCCTCCTCAGCCCCCCACCCCTCCAGCTTGCCTACTCATCCCCCGCCACTGCCCGCCCGCTTGCCTCCTCAGCCCCCTCCCTCACCCGCTGCTTGCCTACTCACCCCCCGCGGGCCGCACAGTGAGCCCACGCGGGCCGCATGCGGCCCCCGGGCCGCATGTTGTGCAGGCCTGCTCTAGAGGGAGTTCTGTAATTGTGGATCTTCCCTTGAGAAGGACAGGTCTCAACCTTTCTGATTTGAAACCTGAGCTTCTTTAGTTTAGATGTCACAATACCATGTGTGGAATAACATGCTGCTGTTACAGGTCAAATCTGAGTTTCCATGGAGGCGTACAATAGAATATCTGCCTTTCCTTACTGAAGCCTAAGAATTAGTTTTAAAAAATTGTATCTTCTAAATGCCAGTAAACAAGAACACTTGCTAATGTGAATTACATCGCAAAAGGGGAAAGATTGAGGATGCTAATCAAAGTAAAGATACTTCATGAATTCAAGAATATAAAATAGTTTGCTACAGCTGAGATAGTATAGGTTCAGATCATTGTTCTCTTGATAGTTTCCAAAATATATATGTGCAGCAGTAAAAATTAAATATTTGTTTCCTACAACTTCAACTTGTTTTGACTTAGCAGCCTCTGTGCAGTTTCAGATGTATCACTTTTGGCACAAGTCTTGACTTGTTGCTTTTTCATTAATGAATGGAGCAGGTGCTATGTTACCAAGTAATTACTGAAGTCTAATACTACATAAGAACAGCCACACTGGGTCAGACCAATCCAGCTAGCCCAGTATCCTGTCTCCTGACAGTGGCCAATGCCAGGTGCTTCAGAGGCAATGAACAGAACAGCTTCTGGCAATCGAAGGCTAGGAACACTTAAAGCATGGGGTTGCATCCCAGACCATCTTGACTAATATCCATTGATGGACCTATTCTCTATGAACTTATCTTGTTCTTTTTTGAACCCTGTTATGATTTTGATCTTCACCGCATCCCCTGGCAATGAGTTCACAGATTGACTCTGTGTTGTGGAAGAAGTACTTCCTTTTGTTTTAAAGCTGCTGCCTATTAATTTCATTGGGTGATTCCTGAATGTGCTTTTTGTAAAGATTTAAAAAAAAGTGGTACTGAGCTGGTGTGAAACAGGCTATAGATCTCTTAAAACATTAGGAAAGGTACTAAGAAGCACAAATCTGTTGCAATAGAAAGAGTTTGACTATTGCATGCCCAAGAGAGGCACTTTTTAAAGACTGTTCACTTTGGGTATCTTTAAAATATTAACTAGTAGTTTCCTCTTTTCTCTTATTCATAGCTGAGGTGTCGAAACACAGAGAAAAGCATCAAGATGCCCATAGCACAGGCCAGGGGTGGATCAGTCCGTAAAGCAAAGAAAATTACTGTAAAAACATCTTTAAATAACCCATATGATATCAAGTGGAACACCCTAGAAGGAGATGATATGCACTTTATACTTCAGACCTTGGAAGAAAGGATTAAACACATTGGACTTAAAAAGATTGAGACTCGAAGGAGGAAAAAACGTTCTATTGCAAAAAGGCAAATTAAAGAAAAATGTGATACTAGTGATTGTAGTGTACTTCCAAAGGAGAAGGAAATAGACCATATTCAACAAGAACAAGGATGGACTGACTTAAACGTCAGGAAACAGCTTGCTATTGGAATTAATGAGGTTACTAGATCTTTGGAAAAAAATGAACTACTTCTAGTGCTGGTGTGTAAATCTGCAAAACCTACTATGATCACCATGCACCTTATTCAGCTCAGTGCAAGTCGAGCAGTCCCAGCTGGCCAGGTTCCACGTCTTAGTGAAAGCATAGCTCCTATGCTCGGTTTAACATCTGTTCTAGCACTGGGTTTTAAAAAGAATTCTGATACTTTTACTGAAGTAGTCGAAGCTATAATACCACGGATACCTAGCTTGGATGTGCCCTGGATTCACCATAGAAGTGAGCAACATATGGCGGAGGCATATACTGATCCTTTGGAAATTCAAGATACCGAGCTTATGGAGACCTCAGGGGAGGAGTTCTCTCAAAGCCATAAGTGGAAATGTACTGAAAGCAATAAGTTGGATTCTTCAAATGTAACTTTACAAGCTCTCAGAATTAAAAAGCTTGTTCCAAATCCAAATAAGATACGAAAACCTCCCAAAAATAAAAAAGCTGCTTCAAAATAACTTAGTTTAGTACAGGTCTTTACAGTGGGAGTAAAGTGATTTTGATGTAGTATTGGAAACTGCCCCATGTAACTAAGTTAACTGCTTTTAAATGTCATGGCTTCAGAAGTAAAGTCATTTGACCAATATAAGATGAACTCAGATTTGTTTTGTTCTGACATTAAAGCATGCAATCTATAAAATTGTGCATAAGTGTTAACTGCTTTCTTAAGACGTGCTTAATTATTGTTTAGAGAGCCTGGGTTTACTGGTGTGTGGTATCGTTCTAAAATGTGCATTTGCTATTAATGAAAAGCATCAAGCAAATTCTTTTGTTTTTAGGGAATGAATATACTTAGAACAAAACTCTAAAATTAAATGTAACTATTCAAACAAATGAATATCAAAATTGAAAGTTTATTCAAACAAGTGTCCATGCTGGTATAAACTTTGTTTTTTAAAAGCTGGTCATCTATAAGACGTTTCAAGCAAACATCTGTAACTGGTAGGCACGCACACAGGCTCTGGTTTTGAATGTTAATACTCTGCTCTACGAGGTTGGTTTTGGTCAAGAGATGCATGCTAAACTGGTTTCCAGATATATTTGGTCTCTGATATGCTAAAGGAAAACATTAGTCTTGATCAACATACGAATAATTAAATACTTCTGTTGCAGGAAAAATGCATTTTAAAAAAGACTGTTGTATGCAAACCGAGACATTCTCTCATAGGATCCACATAATACAAAGACGAAGTTAACTGTCAAAATTATTTCACAAAGGGAGTTTAGAAACTATTTCCAATAACTTCAGATATATTTTATGTACTATTGCATGTAAAATGGCAGGTAAGAATTGTAATAATTCCAAATAGCTGAAAATGGTATGATACTTAACTCTTGAAGGGAAATGCACTTTAAGAAACTGCCATAGTAAGCAGTAGAATGTAATGAGAGCACACACCAGATATTTTGCAGGAAATTGTGTAAGGATGTTTAGAAGGTAGGGAACAATGAAGCAGCTCAGACTGCAATAAAAAAAAAAAGTGTATAATCTCAACAAAATAGAAGTTGTTTACTTAGATCTCACATTTTACTCAAAATCTACTACTGTCCTTCAGGAAGAAAGCTAGCAAAAACCTCTTTCTTTAAGTGAGCCTGTGTTTTTGTTTTTAAATAGGGGAGAAACTTCTATGTTCCAGGTCAAAGATTATCTAGGCTGCCTGTATTCTGGATTCCCCTTCTCCCTCCACTCATGTACAAGTTAAGGGGACAAATTAAAAAGGGCCAAAAGCAAACTGCAGCCGAGGCTTCTAATAGCAAAATGCCCGCAGGCCCCTGCCTGGGGGGGGGGGGGGGAAGGCAGCTACTAATTTTTAGCCTTGCTGTGTGTGTTCTTTGGGCTTGTCACTCAGGAAAGTTAAGGTGAATCAACAAAAAGGGTAAATTAAAGCACATTACCACCCCAATAGCTGTTCTCATTCAGGAATAAAATGGCCTTAGTTTAAGATAGTGTTTCCCAAGCAGTGGCTTGTGGGAAGGTTCTAGATGGGTTGCCATGTCCAGGGTCAGAATAACCTGTTGCTGAGCCCAGACTTAGGCTAACATATACTTTTCCCAGCTTGGTGCAGATGGAAGGCTCCAATGCGGTAGGGGTGTTGGAGAGAGAACCTGCCCAGCTCTCACCCACAGCAGCAGCTCTTGTCCTATGGGACACGGTCCAGTTCCCCATGCTGGGTGTTGCAACTTGATGCTTGTGGTCACAGTGCCACTCAAGTTTGGTGCAGCTACTCTATCGTGATAGAGTAGAAGGGCCAAACAGGAGTGGCATTGCAACCTTGTGTGCCATGATGCAGTACCACTCAAATTTGGCCTGGCCACCCCTCTGTCAAACATGAGTGGTGCTGCACCCCCATGCATCCAATTGCAATGCCCAGAGCTGGGGCCAACCCTCCCCCCCAGACTGGAGCTGCCACTGGGGTGAGTCCAGGGTGAGCTCCAAACCCTCCCCCCACCTCTGAACCTAGATGGCATTTAGGGTTGCAGTGCTGGGGCTGAGGGTTCATATATGTAATAGTAGGTGCAAAAAAAGACAAAATGCAGTTTGTAGCTCACATTAATAAATTCAGAAACCACTGGTTTAATCCTCACTCTTTGGCAGAGAATTAAACTATCGCAGACTAAGGCTGCTTTATTCTTGCATGAGAGCATCCATGTGAGTGGTTAATAGGCTTTAACTTATGCACATCAATGTAAGGTTAAGTTGATTTGTCATAACTTTCCTGGATGTGCCTGTGTAGACACAGCATGTGTTCTTCAGGCCAGCAATAGGCCCTCAGTGACTTTAAGGTACAAACCATTTTAGCTTTAATGACATAAGTGGCTAATTAAATCCTACTATGGATAATTGGAAGCCAACACTGGGGGGTTGGAATGTACTACCTTTCAAAGTCTAATATAGACAAGGGCAGTGTGCTTTAACTTGAGCACATATGGAAGCAGGCTGCACTGTGCACATTAGAGTAACTGTGTATTAGTATGGGTTAGAACACATTTACCTAGCAATATGCCTTTAAATCATAGTTTAGACAAAGCCTGAGAGCCTGTTACCCCTGTACATATGGGGTAGAGTCCCCTTCCATTATAAAAGAATGACTTTTATGAGATAAGCTGCCATACAAGGTGTTAAGTCCAGTGCTAGAGGCAGAACTAAATCAATCTCTCTCTCTCTACATTGCTAATTTCAGACAGCTCCTGAAGTTGAGCAAAATTTGCTTTCTCATTTAGAATTATGGGGGTGTTAAAGCCAGGTTTATCCATAAATATTTCACCAAATATTCAAGTAATGTCCAAAATACCTGCACAGCATGTAACCTTCACCACTATTTGGCACTTTCAGCTAGAAGTGTAGATTTTGCTGCTCATGTGACTATAGCATACCTAAACTCTAAGAATTGCCATCACAATTTAAGCTATGAATATGACATTATGGAACGTATTCCAAATGCTTCTGGTTGCAGAGCATTCATGAGGAAATAAAAATCAAGTTGTTGCATTTAAGTTAAGGCCAGTACATAGTCTTTCCAGGGGATAGGGAGAAGATTACTGGTACTATATGCAGTGAAACCTTTTGTTCAAAATTCAGGATAAAAACACTACCAGTAACAATTTATGAATACTTATTTACACAAGATACTTTTCGTTAGAATTACAGACTTCAAAGTAGACAAAGAAATATGTGCAATTTTGCAGAAGCATTGAAAACATTCAAAACTATAAATAGTTTGATAGCATTACCAAAATTCTTAGTTTTACACACAGGCTGATGTTGATCTACTGAGGAAAAACTAAGGTTTTGTGCCACAACTATAAATTAAGTACAGTAATTTATAATCATTCTGGCAACAGATATCTGCACTGAACAGTGCAATACTACTGAATCAATCCACTGATCTATTGAAGATCAAAGTACAAATCTGTATTTTTATTGATTTGGCAGCGTTGCTTATGGAGAAACAAATGCACTAGTCAAACCAGCACATTTTCATACTGCTCCAGTTACAAAAACATCCAAGACTTTCATATTAGCTACAAATGTATCATAACTCCATTATTTTACCCCAAATGATGACATCCATGTGAATTTTATAAGCAAAGATACTCAGTTTGGATCCTTCATTCTGTTACACTGACAAACATACACCACCACTTAATAAATAGAAATGCAGCAGTTCATTCACATAATAGCAAAGATTTTCGTACCCCTAATCCACCACTGCAGTTCAGTTTGTACAAAACAGTCTTTTCTACAGAGTGGAAAAAAATACCGTCTTTTTATCAAGGTGCGAGCTAAGCTTTGAAAATTAAATGAATGTGCTTTTATTCTTTTTATGGACAATAAAAGTTTCATGAACTTTCCATTTTATCTGAAAATGTGAAAATTGGTCAGCTACGGATTTCTTCATTATTTTAGATTTGATGGATTATTTCAATTTCACTGATGTTGTGCTTTTATTCCTCTTGAACAATACTGTTCCAAGAACTGTTATGTAGATTAAATCAATCCAAATGACAGCTTCAGAGTTCTAGAAACACAAGGGTCCTCCTTATTGTAATACAAGGCCAACCTAAAGTAAGAGCAAAATGCAGTAGTTAATGCAAGTATAGCAACAAATATTGGCTTTTTGAACTTAATTATGAATCTTAGATGTTCAATTAAAAAAATTAAGTTTTGACAGTTTTGACATTCTTAAATTAATTTATTTTTATTAACTGTGCACAGCAGCTCTTTTCTCTCTTACCTTTTCGGATTCCATGCCAGGACACCGCCAGTTGTACAAATAATACTGCAAGTTCCCATCTCCTATCCCAAACTTGAGTTTTTCCAGGAATGTTTTGTTTTCCATCAAGTCTAGTGCATTGAACACATCAAATCCTTTCTGGAAATATCAAAACATTTTTGAAATTTTATTTTGATTTTCAAATGATACTTTATATATACACATAATGGGTATAAATGTATCCGAGAGTCTAATGATTTTCACTAAATAGACATTAGATTTGATCCTGCATTCTGATATGCATGCAGAATAGAAAGTAATTCTGTCTGCGTATCACATAGGGGAATTTAGACTGAAGGTTGTATCTCTAGAACAGTGGTTCTTAACCTATTTACCATTGTGGGACGCATACAGCTCTCTATGTGTTATGTGGGCCCCATCCACAATACAATACATCAGGGGTTCTCAAACTTCATTGCACCGGGACCCCCTTCTGACAACAAAAATTACTACATGACCCCAGCAGGGGGGACAGAAACCTGAGCCCCACCAAGCCCTGCCGCCCTGGGCAGGGGGGGCACAGCATATGCCCTGCCACCCCAGGTTGGTGTGAAGCTAAATGGAAGCTGAAGCTTAATGGAAGCCAAAGCTCAGGCTTTGGCTTCAGTCCCAGGCCCCAGCAAGTCTAACGCCAGCCCTGGCGACCCCATTAAAACAGGGTTGCGACCCACTTTGAGGTTCCGACCCACAGTTTGAGAACCACTGCAATACTTCTGCAAAAAATAAAAAAAAAAAAAAAAAAAAAGATTTAGTATTTGTTATATGACAGCAATACGATTCAAATCAATTTAGTACCTTTCATTTCAATACTGGCAAATGTCTATCAAGAGCATTTTAAATTAGCAAAATAAGTCAAGACATTAACTTAAAATTAATTTACTGGAGGGGTGGCATGGCATGACACGCTGCCGCTGGCAGCCTGGCTGGGCTGGGTGCCTGGAGAGCATGGCTGCGGAGCCTGCCTGCAAAGATGAAGAGCCCTGCCCGGGGTGGGGTGCTCACCCGAGCCAGGGACTGTCCTCCAGGCACCCAGTCCCCCCCACCCAGGGAATGCCCCACATCATCCAACCCTCCTGGGACTGTCCCCCCAGCATCCAAACACCCCCCCAACAGTGGTCTGGCACATGTGCCTGCTTTGCAGAGACAGAGTGCCCTGTCCAGGGCAGAACAGCCCCCCCAGGGACTGCCCCCTCCAGCATCCAGTCCTCCACCCAGGAACTGCCCCCCCAGCACCTGCTCCCAGCCCTCAACCCCTCCATCCAGGGACTGTGCCTATCTAGCCTCCCATCCAAGGACTGCCCCCAGCCACCAGTCCACACACATACAGTCTGTCCCCCATGCACTGGCTGCACCTTCCTTCCCACGCCCCAGCCCCCTGCACTCCCTCCCTGGGGCCCTAGCCCCCTGAATCCTCCTTCCCGTGCCCACTGGTCTCCTACATAAGAACGGCCGTACTGGGTCAGAACAAAGGTCCATCTAGCCCAGTATCCTGTCTACCAACAGTGGCCAATGCCAGGTGCCCCAGAGGGAGTGAACCTAACAGGTAATGATCAAGTGATCTCTCTCCTGCCATCCATCTCCACCCTCTGACAAACAGAGTCTAGGGACACCATTCCTTACCCATCCTGGCTAATAGACATTAATGGACTTAACCTCCATGAATTTATCCAGTTCTCTTTTAAACACTGTTATAGTCCTAGCCTTCACAACCTCCTCAGGCAAGGAGTTCCACAAGTTGACTGTGCGCTGTGTGAAGATCTTCTTCCTTTTATTTGTTTTAAACCTGCTGCCTATTAATTTCATTTGATGATCCCTAGTTCTTGTATTATGGGAATAAGTACGTAACTTTTCCTTATCTACTTTCTCCACATCACTCATGATTTTATATACCTCTATCATATCCCCCCTTTAGTCTCCTCTTTTCCAAGCTGAAAAGTCCTAGCCTCTTTAATCTCTCCTCATATGGGACCCATTCCAAACCCCTAATCATTTTAGTTGCCCTTCTCTGAACCTTTTCTAGTGCCAGTATATCTTTTTTGAGATGAGGAGACCACATCTGTATGCAGTATTCAAGATATGGGCGTACCATTGATTTATATAAGGGCAATAATATATTCTCCTTCTTATTCTCTATCCCCTTTTTATTGATACCTAACATCCTGTTTGCTTTTTTGACCGCCTGTGCACACTGCGTGGACGTCTTCAGAGAACTATCCACGACGACTCCAAGGTCTTTTTCCTGATTCACTGTAGCTAAATTAGCCCCCATCATATTGTATGTATAGTTGGGGTTATTTTTTCCAATGTGCATTACTTTACATTTATCCACATTAAATTTCATTTGCCATTTTGTTGCCCAGTCAATTAGTTTTGTGAGATCTTTTTGAAGTTCTTCACAGTCTGCTTTGGTCTTAACTATCTTGAGCAGTTTAGTATCATCTGCAAACTTTTCCACCTCACTTTTTACCCCTTTCTCCAGATCATTTATGAATAAGTTGAATAGGATTGGTCCTAGGACTGACCCTTGGGGAACACCACTAGTTACCCCTCTCCATTCTGAGAATTTACCATTAATTCCTACCCTTTGTTCCCTGTCTTTTAACCAGTTCTCAATCCATGAAAGGACCTTCCTTTTTATTCCATGACAACTTAATTTACGTAAGAGCCTTTGGTAAGGGACCTTGTCAAAGGCTTTCTGGAAATCTAAGTACACTATGTCCACTGGATCCCCCTTGTCCACATGTTTGTTGACCCCTTCAAAGAACTCTAATAGATTAATAAGACACGATTTCCCTTTAGAGAAACCATGTTGACTTTTGCCCAACAATTTATGTTCTTCAATGTGTCTGACAATTTTATTCTTTACTATTGTTTTGACTAATTTGCCCGGTACCAACGTTAAACTTACCGGTCTGTAATTGCTGGGATCACCTCTGGAGCCCTTTTTAAATATTGGCGTTACATTAGCTATCTTCCAGTCGTTGGGTACAGAAGCCGATTTAAAGGACAGGTTACCAACCCTAGTTAATAGTTCCGCAACTTCACATTTGAGTTCTTTCAGAACTCTTGGGTGAATGCCATCTGGACCCGGTGACTTGTTAATGTTAAGTTTATCAATTAATTCCAAAACCTCCTCTAGTGACACTTCAATCTGTGACAGTTCTTCAGATTTGTCACCTACAAAAGCCGGCTCAGGTTTGGGAATCTCCATAACATCCCCAGCCGTGAAGACTGAAGCAAAGAATCCATTTAGTTTCTCCGCAATGACTTTATCGTCTTTAAGGGCTCCTTTTGTATCTCGATCATCGAGGGGCCCCACTGGTTGTTTAGCAGGCTTCCTGCTTCTGATGTACTTAAACATTTTGTTATTACCTTTTGAGTTTTTGGCTAGCCATTCTTCAAACTCTTTGGCTTTTTTTATTACATTTTTATACTTAATTTGGCAGTGTTTATGCTCCTTTCTATTTACCTCACTAGGATTTGACTTCCACTTTTTAAAGGAAGTCTTTTTATCTCTCACTGCTTCTTTTACATGGTTGTTAAGCCACGGTGGCTTTTTTTTAGTCTTTTACTGTGTTTCTTAATTTGGGGTACACATTTAAGTTGGGCCTCTATTATGGTGTCTTTAAAAAGTGCCCATGCAGCTTGCAGGGATTTCACTTTAGTCACTGTACCTTTTAATTTCTGTTTAACTAACCCCCTCATTTTTCCATAGTTCCCCTTTTTGAAATTAAATGCCACAGTGTTGGGCTGTTGAGATGTTCTTCCCACCACAGGGATGTTAAATTTTATTATATTATGGTCACTATTTCCAAGCGGTCCTGTTATAGTTACCTCTTGGACCAGCTCCTGCGCTCCACTCAGGACTAAATCTAGAGTTGCCTCTCCCCTGGTGGGTTCCCATACCAGCTGCTCCAAGAAGCAGTCATTTAAAGTATCGAGAAATTTTGTCGCTGCATTTCGTCCTGAGGTGACATGTTCCCAGTCAATATGGGGATAATTGAAATCCCCCACTATTATTGAGTTCTTAATTTTGATAGCCTCTCTAATTTCCCTTAGCATTTCATCATTACTATCACTGTCCTGGTCAGGTGGTCGATAATAGATCCCTAATGTTATATTCTTATTAGAGCATGAAATTACTATCCATAGAGATTCTATGGAACATGTGGATTCACTTAAGATTTTTACTTCATTTGATTCTACATTTTCTTTCACATATAGTGCCACTCCCCGCCCCGCACGACCTGTTCTGTCCTTCCGATATATTTTGTACTCCGGAATGATTGTGTCCCATTGATTGCGCTCAGTCCACCCAGGTTTCTGTGATGCCTATTATATCAATATCCTCCTTTATCATGAGGCACTCTAGTTCACCCGTCTTATTATTTAGACTTCTAGCATTTGTGTACAAGCACTTAAAAACTTGTCACTGTTTATTTGTCTGCCCTTTTCTGATGTGTCTGATTCTTTATGTGAATGTTTCTCGTCTGATCTGGCCCTTACATTATCCTCTTCCATCCTCTGCTCCTGACTACAACCTAGAGAATCTCTATCAATAGACTCTCCTCTAAGAAGTCTCTGTCCGATCCACATGCTCCTCTGCAGCAGTCGGCTTTCCCCCATCTCCTAGTTTAAAAACTGCTCTGCAACCTTTTTAATGTTAAGTGCCAGCAGTCTAGTTCCACTTTGGTTTAGGTGGAGCCCATCCTTCCTGTATAGGCTCCCCCTATTCCAAAAGTTTCCCCAATTCCTAATTAATCTAAACCCTTCCTCTCTACACCATCGTCTCATCCACACATTGAGACTCTGAAGCTCTGCCTGCCTACCTGGCCCTGCGCGTGGAACTGGGAGCATACCTTGGTTACACATAGCTTAGCCATGCAGCCTGCCCTGCCCGCCTGCCACTGCAGTCCTAGTGCCAGGGAGCCTGCTCCAGCCAGGGTCACTGGACCCATGGGGTAAAGGTGGGATGGGGGAGGGGCGCTGAGCACCCTGGTTTCCTGCTGATGCTTCTAGGCCTGATCCTGTGCCGCCCCATTTTTGCACCCCCCTGCTGGCTCTGTGCCAGGGGCATGTGGTCCTCCCACCCTGCCATA